GAGTGTTTTTCTGGAGCAGATGAAAAAGTTTGTTGAATGGCTCAAGAATGCTGAAGAAGGTAACCAGCAGCTTAGCTCACAAGTTGAGCTTGTTCATTTTGGGAACCTTAGTGCAAATAATGCTTTGCTTTGGGGGTGGGAGGGTGTTAATTGCTCCTCTGAGACTAGGTGAGCGCCCTGGAACTGGCCAGAAAAGCTTGCTGGTGGACTCCACATGGATCCAACAGCAGCTCTTGCGCAGGGTGCAGGGCAGCAGCTGAGCTCGGGGGCGGGGGGGCCTGACCTGCTGGCAGCCTGTTGACGAGGTCTCTCTGTTCCAGAGTCGGAGTCTGAAGGTGAAGAGGGTGACTGACCAGTGAAACTCTGTCCTCAGTAAAGCAAACAGCTGTAGATAAGTGTCATGTCTCGTGTGTCCTTCTGATTCTTACATCCTACCTCCCTGTATCAAGCATGATATAAGGGCTCTCATGGCAATTTATTTTAACTGTTTTCTATAGTTATTGAAATACTGGGTTTAGTTTTTAAAACCATGTTTTAAGTAGCTTACAGGAGCTGTTGTAGATTTGACTCTTAACCTGCATTTGTCCTTTCAGTTATATTCTACCTCCTGTATTTTCTACTGTAATAATGTAATTTAAGGCCTTCCACAATGAAATCCATTTTACCCCTTGGGTTTTCTATCTATATTTGAGTAGACATGATATGGTGAATGAGATTATGGCAGTTCTGTTTGCAAATTAAACTGTAAAGCCTCCAAAGAGGGCGTGGCTCACATAGCAACTCAGTGTGACACTGCAGTCCGTACTGCTTGCTCCAGATAACCCCACTCATAGGTGGCTGTCAATCTCCGTGCCGACTTTGTCTTTACTAAACTTCCAGCATAAAGCAACCCTCTGTTCCAGCGGCTGGCTGAGGTGGGAGCTCAGTGTCCTGCTGGGAGGGAAGCTGTTCTCTGGTGGCACTGAGGGGCATCAGTGGTGGGGGTAGGACAAGCAGCATCTCTGAGCCTGCCAGCTGCCACAGCTGGTGGCCTGCGTCCCTGGGGTTCTTGGGGTCTTGCTGCTTCTCTCATGGGTGCTGCCCCACCAAGGCATGTCTCCTGGAAGGGAAGGGGGGGCTGAACTCCAGCCCTGACCCCAAAGAGGGATTAATTTATGCTGGCAGTTGACATATTAAACCGAACAGCTTATCTGCTCCCTGAAACTTTGAATTCTTAATGGGAAGTGCCAGGACAGCTCCTAATCAAGACAGATTTGGCGAGAGTTAAGTCTATACTGTTGTAACCTAGTAATGAGCATTAACTGAAATACTGGTAACCAGAGTACACCTACTAAAATTAAAAAAATATATATAAAAAAATGGTGATCACAGTGCACTCTGATCACTACTGCAGTGATCTTCCTTATTTTGTAACTTTTTTTTAAACAAATAAAGGCCATCCTTACACTAACGTGAAGGGCTCTATCTGTTCTCTTACCAAAAAGGCATCGGTGATACTAAAGGGTAAAGATCAGTCCTGGGTCTTTTGCCATCCTCATGACAGTTGAATAAAACACAATTAAAACAGTATTTTCTTGCTGTTAAGTGGCCTGTTTCATAGAATAGAGCGTGTTCTTTTCCTCATGTTAAAAGCGCAAGTGTGCTGAGATTTTTATTTACTGAGGAAATGCAACCATGTCATCAATATCTTTTTTCTTAAATAAGATTTATGCCAGCAGCTGGATTAAATTTCAGTATCCAAAAAGTCATAATACAAAATAAGGCATTCATAAAATAACTGTACACAATAAATATTTAACACTACTTGTATTTCTTTGGTGGGCTGGCATCTGTGTCAGCCTGCTCAGCTGCAGGAGACAGTGCCCTTTTTCCCTGTTTCAGTGGGGAAAAAAAGGGGTGTTCCAGTGCTTCTGCAAGAGTAATGCGTTTGGCTGGGTCATACTCCAACATCTTCTGAATGAGGTCAAAGAGGTTCTTGTGGTCAGCATCATGGCAGGTCATTAGTTCCTTCACGAAGAAAACAAAACCTGTTTGAATCTTGTAATGGCGCTTAAAGCTCCTCTCCCTAAAAGCATTTTCCCTCCTGTCATCTTACCTTCAGTGGCTTACAGCGCCTTAAGATGTATCTGCCCGCAGAACTGTGTTCATCCCAACACAGCTGGTCATCACGGAAATACTTCTGTTTCCTTAAACAAACAGACCAGTTTGTTACTCCAGTAACGAGGTCACTGGAAACTTTATCACTGGAAGCGATCAGTTTGGTCGCAACTTGGGAGGGGATCTGGGACTATTCCATGAGAGTGGCCAGCTTGTTCAATACAGCAAAAGGGTGGATCTGAGTTTATTAAGCTTTTTTAAAAAAATTTGCTATTAAACCAAATCTGAAAATATTTAGATTAAGCTATAGCAGTCCAAGTACAGAAGAATATAATTACCTGGTTTTCTTTATCATGTGTTTTGGCAAAGGCCCCAGTATTTGCTCCATCATTGCCAGGTGTTCTTTGCTGTCACGGGTCTGGAGGGAAGGAAAGACAGACATTTTTACTCATTGTTAAGAGGAAGTTACTGAGAACCACATGCTAACCGTATGCATTTCTGACTGTACCCTGCAACCAATAATCAATCAATTTCAGGTCAAGGAAAACAAGAGAGGCTGTAGTCATCCTTTTCCTGAAATAAGTTACAATGTACTGGAGTTCTTTTTTCCCTTGACCCTGCCTTTTTTTTCATTGTTCGTAAATTTCAAGTCTCAGCAACACTGTCGAGATGACAGAATTCAGGTATTTGAGTAGTAGTTGCTGAGGGTCATAGAGGAAGCTACATCTGTTATTACTGTACCATGTAAATTACAAATGGTAACAGGGTGACCCTTCCTATCAAGCTGCTGCCAAAATGTTTACAGAAAGCTGCTGAGAAAGTTCCTTTGTGCCTCCATCTTCTGTTCTCTTCAACTTGGTGTTACAGAGACATGCAGCATAATTTCTCACCCTGACCATTCCCCTTAGTCCCCACCTCTCTGTAGCACATTTCCACCAAGCTGAGGAGTGTTACCGACGCTAGATCACTCTGAGGGGGGCAGTTACTTACTGGGAATATTGCAAATCCAAGGTAGTATTCTATGAGAATACAGCCTATGCTCCAGACATCACATGGTTGTGCCCATCCTAGTGCTGTGAAAAGATTCAGCAGGTTCATGGTTACACCACACCACAAGCGGCTCAACAGCCCAAGCAAGATACGCAACATGGCTGTAGCACAGTTCAACAGCACGCAAAGCCGTACGTGAAGCGTCAGCCTCACTGACTTCTACTGACCTAGGATAACTTCCGGAGCTCTGTAATGTCTTGTAGACACCAAAGCGCAGTGATACTCATCATCATATGTTGCGCTCCCAAAGTCCACAACTTTGATGTCTGGATTTTTTACTGTGAGTTCGTTGCATTTCTGGAATGAAACACAGTGGGATGCAAGTCACCAAATGAGCCCAGACATGGGCTGAGGGGGAGGTGGGGAAGAAGACAGCAACTTGCCAGTTTGGGGTTATACTCCTCTATGTAGTCAGACGACACAAATAAAATATTTTCCGGTTTCAGATCTGTATGTGTCAACTTGTTCAAATGCAAAACTGCAAGACAACAAACACAGTTAGCAAATTCCACAAAGCAAATTTTAACAAATAAAGCAAAAGAGAAATGTACTTACAGTTCACCGATTTGCAGATCTGATACGCTATATGCCTGATGTGGTCCAGCTTGAATGGCAGAAAGCCATTCTCTTTAATGAAGTCAAAGGTGCTGAGCCCGAGTAGCTCAAAAACAATGCAGACGTGGCCGTGGTACTCAAACCATTCTAACATCTGGACACAGCGACTGCAAAAGCAGGAAAATAAATGAACTGCAACAGGAAGTTGTATAACGCTGAGATACAGATGTCATAGGTTACAGAAAACCGTGTCACAGAAATCTTAAAAGCGAACCCAAAGTACAGGGAGCATCACATACTTACTATGTACTGCTGGGATCTGATGCGTTTAAGTGTTCCAGTACTTCTATTTCAGCGTAAGCTGCTTCGGCGTACCTAGCAACGTTTTTAATTATTTTCACAGCTACGTGCCTATCTTCCCTAAAAAAAAAAAAAAAAAAAAAGACAGGTTTTTGACAGTGATTAGAACAATGAGTAGCTTTAACTAACAATACTTGATAAGTACCACCATATATATATATATATATATATATTTTGCTTATAACAATGGCAGAAAAGGTTGGGTGTACTTGGTTTTTTTAGTACATACTGAGTGAATACAATCAAGGCTGATCTCTGCACAAACACAACTAAAGTGTTTTAAATTCTGGGAACACACTCAATACCTTATACACACTTATACAGCGGTATTATTCTTAAAGGTTAAAAGTCCCATTTACCTCCCCTTTGTATCTGTGTATGCTGGGCCAATAGTGGAGAAACTTCCACATCATGCAGCCTAACAAGCACAACTGTCTGTCAGTCAAAAAAAATGACACGCCTTCGTCAGTTCTTCAAGTAGTAAAGATGTAACTGAGGTGTCACATGCCTTCTACAGTGACTAGAAAAGACACTCTAGTTCATACTATTTTGCACCCAGCAAAACTGCCATCAAACGCAAAATACGTTCTTGAATTAGATCATACTCATTGCTAGAACCCAAATGGCATTGCATCGTCACAGGCAATACTGTAAGGTAAGCTACATGATGTCAGAGCCCTTGCTTGTAATACAGATCTGGGGTGGTCCAGGCCCCAGGAGTGCCCACTGCGGGGTGCAGCTTCACTCTGCGCTGTCTGGGCCACCTCCCCGCACCGGCTGGTGTCCTCCACCCGGCGCCGACAGAAGCCGCACCCACCGCCTCACCCACCACCAGCCCTGCCCAGGCGCTGGCGTACCAGGTGCACGATGGCGTACCAAGGTCATGTTTGGGAACTGCGGCAGCCTTGCAGCCATGCGCAGAGCAGCAGATAGGAAGCGAAGGTAAAACCTGATACAATCAGCACGTCATGAAGCACACTGTGACAGCATGAGGAAGGAAAACGGCACATATTTAATGAAAGACTTACGCTTCGTGATTGATGCATTCCACTACTCTTCCAAAAGCACCTTCACCCAACGTAGCAACAACCTCATCTATAAAGAAAAGAACTCTCAGTCAGAGCAGCTGTGAAGTTACTCAGCCATTAAAAAACCAAGCAAACAAATAAAACCAAAAAGACTAAGTACTATTACTGGAGCTATTCTAGACTGCGCTGCTTTAAATTGTAATTATCTCGTTTGAGAGATGTTACTGGGTAATTCTCATCAAGGCACATTACGGGGATCTCAGTCCAGTAGGTTCATTAATTTAATTTACTATTTTTTTCAGGGGGAAGGGAAATAGAAAAAAGAAAAATATTGACGTTCTACAGAAAAAGAATAACAATCCCCACCCCCAAACAAAAAAGTCAAGACAGAAAGAAAAGACTTTCAAAGCCCCCTCACATCTTATGCTAAAAGAACTTATTCTATCCGAAAAGTTAATAAATTTTGAAAAATATTCTATACATCTTGCACTTAGTACGTCTCCACTCTGACAGATCAGGTGACCCTCCTCATCATCCTCTACACTCCTGGGTCTTTTCCTTCGATGACTCCTCTGGAACGGCACCAAGATCGTCCAGCCAATCAATAAACCCGAGTGAATTCAGGTCAGAATACGAATTCATTCAGCAGGGAGATATTCAGGCATTCAGATACACGCCAGGCCACAAACAGTTGGCAGGAGCAATTTCAAATTCAGTCCCCAGAAATTCACAGGGCACATAGTTTATGTTACAGGAGAAAAACATGGCAAGGAACAGATTTTCAGATGAGATACTCAAAGTGGCAAGGCAACAAAAAATGACAATACAATTGTTTTTCTTTTAAGAGACTGGTTCACTGAATTTTACCTTAGATTTCAGTGCCCATCTTTTCACTTTAAAGCAAAAGGATCTAATAATTATCTTATATATACATATTTAAAAAATAGCCTTGTGGCCAAATTAAAATACCTATCTTAAGTAACTTCAGATTATATCACTGGTCTGAATAGTTGATAACAATTTTTTTTGTTTTAAATCATAAACAGCATATACATTTACTTAAGGCTGTCTCAGGTGAAGACCTTAAATTATAAATCCTATCTTCAGCTTTCTTAAGAGTTAAATATAGAACAAAGTCAGAAAAACTGCCCCACTAGTGGGCAGACATCATATCTGATTCTACAGATTTTTCAGCGATAACTTAAACTATCTTACTAAATAAATTTTTAAAAATAAAACTCTGACATTATCTCCTTGCTATTTCAGTGATACTTAGTCAAAAGCAAGTTTAACAGCCTGTGCTTTTCGAGAAGGGCTGAAATAAATGCTTGTCATAAAAATTTTGAAGGCATCAAAGTAATGCCTGTATTTCAGTAACTCAAATTGATGGCTATTACTCATTAATCTGCTCAAATATATCAAATGAACAAAAAGCAAGACCATGTTCTGTGGTATCACAAGCATGCCTACAGACTACACATTTTCACTGAAGGAAATAAAATCCTAGCAAAAAAAAGAGTAATCTACTACTATTAGCTAGAGAAGTAAACTATTAACATTATCAAAAGAACTCCCCAAACCCCCCCTCAATTACTACTGCCCAGATGAGAATCTATCTTCTTAAAATAAATAAACAAAACTAAATTAAAATTGGTCATACCACCTGTGAATCATCACGACAGGTAGTGTGATGTGTCTTGTATTTCCTTTTGTAACTACTCGTCCCACTATGACCCGATGAGTTGCTGCTCTGATGCCCAGTATCACATCCCTGCTGGTACTCGTTTCTGTATTCTTCAACACAACATCGTTCATGACAGTCTCTTTCATTTACAGTTTTGGTTTCTAAACAGCTACTACAAACGAAGGATCAAATAAGCTTAATTAGAATAATTCTAGTACCGTATCAAGACAGCTTCTTGTTTTAAGCTGTAAGACATCTCTTGAAGTATCTCCAACTCAAAAATGAATACGTTATCATACGACAACCTGATGAGAACAGTAAAATCTTAAAACATATGCTTGCTGATATCAAGAAGTCAAAAAGTTATCTACCTCTCAGGAAATTCAGAAAGATCACGTTTGCAGTGCTTGCTCTCCTGTGCACCACCTAATGATGTCCTCTTTCTCTTACTGCCACTGCCGCATTTTCTGCGAGCTGGACTTCCTTTTTTATCCCAGTCACGATTATCAGTTTGCCTGGAATGCCGCATCTGTAACACGTATTTTGCTCTTTGAATTACATCCCATAGACAAACAATTCATTTTCAAAGCCATTAATTATCAAATAACACTATAATGAAGATTGTATTTTCCTCAACTACCCAATTTTCATTTTTTTTCTGCTCGTTCTTCCATGCCATTTTTTAGTTCGAAAAGCTTTTTCAAATCAACCGGTTTTGATAGAGGAACATAAACGAATAACCTACTTTTTTTCCAAAGATTTTAAAAAGAAGTGGCCTGGCTCAGACACTAAACACAGGCCGTGCATGTTTTTTCCGCAAAGCTGCTCAGGCACCCGACGGTGCCTATGCTAGGAAAAAGGCAGGCTCCCGCATGCTGAGACAGGGCACGCAAATACTGCCCGGTGTGCTTTTAAAGACTTCGAGGGACTTGTCATAAACTTTTACCTCGCTTCCTTCTATAGATTCTCGGAGAATTCCTAATGCCAAGTCAAAATTATAATAAACCCTAGGTTATCTCCTAGTTATTTACCTCGAAGAGGAAAACAACTCGCTACACGAGTCTTTTATTTCGCTTTCCGACCACGAACTGATTCCAGCTCACAACCTGCGCCTCGGGCTGACGCGCCCGGGCTCGGCAGCAACGGCGCTGCTGCCAAGCGGGAG